AAAGATTTTGATGAACAAAAGCAGCAGTGGGAGCGGGAAAAACGGCGTCTTCTCACCAACAAACAAGATGCAGCCGAGGTAGAAAAGCTGAAAGCTCAGCTGGAGTCGCAGAAAGTTACACATGGGGTCGAGGTTTCTGCGCTGTACAACGAGCTGATCAAGAGGAAGAAAGACCATCAAGTTGCCATCAAAAAGGCAGAAGAGCTGGAGAAAAACCTGGCTGAAGTGAAAAATAGAGCAAAAGAGGCAGAGGACTGCTTAGCCAAGCAAACAGAGGAAATATCCACCCTTCAAGCTGCTCTCATCCAAACAGAGACAGCTTTAGCAAACCAGAAACAACAGTGGGAGCTGGAAAAATCCCATCTCATGACCAACCAACACCAAAGAGATGAGGTGGAGCAGCTAAAAAAGCAGCTGGAGTTACAGAAAGCTGAGGCAGAAGTGGAGAAAGCCGCGCTCCATTTGACGCAGCAGAAAATGAAGCAATGCCATGAAGATGCAGCTAAAAAAGCCACTGAACTACAAATGACTCTGCGTGCTGAGAAGGCTAATCACATCGAAACAATGACATCCGTAGTAGAGAAAATCCGGGAAAGCTTTAAATTAAAGTCTGCTTTAGTAGAAATGGAGCAAGATATGGAGAAACAAAAAAACCTCTGGGACCAGGAACGACTCGGACTCCTGGAGCAGCAGGAAACTCTCAGGAATGAGAAAGCAGCTATGAAAGATGGTCTACTCAATGAAAGGCAGGAGTGGCAATCAGAGAAGACCTGCCTTCAGGAGGCCATTTTAGCAGCCAAAAACGCTCTGAAAGAGTTACAGGAGAAGAATATGTCAACAGAGAGCAAAGAGGATGAACTGAAAAATCAGCAAGAAAAGATCAACAACTTACAAGGAAAAGCTGATAAGAAAACGTTTGGGAGAAAAATGAAAAATCTCTTTAAACGCTCTAAAAAGCAACGGTGAAACCTCATGAAACCTCCTCCAACCAAACCATCGGTTTCTCCAAGCTCCAACTCGCTCTTTGTTTTGACACCCATCTCTGGGATTATCCCACCTTTTCTAACTTTACCACCACTCTTTTCACTTTTTCTGTAAACATCATAGAATAATACAAACAAACAAAAAATTATAAAAAAAAAACATAAAATTTTTTTTAAAAAGCACAAAAAAAAATACAAATATCAACACATTTGAACAAACACACCTACAAAACACACACACACACACACACACACACACACACACACACACACACACACACACACACACACACACACACACACACACACACACACACACACACACACACACACACATAACAATCCTGCCATGAGGATCACAGTACTATGTGCTCCTGTTGCTGGTCCCAAGCCCAGATAAAAGGAGAGGGTTATGTGAACACACCTCAGCTATCAGCTAGCTAGATAGAAAAATAGACAAAGCAAAAACATTTACATCTCATTAAGTTCTGCCAAGTTTAGTTTAGGGACCATGCAACGCTGCTAGCTGCTTTCAGAGAAGCTAAACCTGGGATCTGTTTCATGGAGCAGTTTAAACATTTGTTGGAATAAACATAGAATCCCAAAACTGAGCAAATTGTTAAACAATGTCTGCTACAGCGCCCTCTAGGGGAAAAAAAACCTGTGCTATAGTGCCACCTTTGTAGGGAAGACACGTGCTAAAGTGCCCCCTTGGTAGGGGTAAGTATTGGCATGGGTGTTGTCATACGATACGTGTCACAATACTTGGGTCAAGATACGATATTATCACGACATTGCAGTATCTCTATATGTTGTGATATTTTTCTCTGTTGTTAAAATTAAATTAATAGATAAAAAAGTGAGTGCTGTATGTGTTCATGAGAAGACATTGATCATTGACTTTTTTTTGGTATTCATGTTAGTTGAGATTTGGGTCAGTCAGCGTTTTAAAGTTGGACTGCCTGAACTACAGAAATGATGCTGCGCTGCACAGCAAAAAAGCTCCGCAGCACTACCTGCCAGAGTGGCAGTGCACAGTTTGCCCATTTTCCCTCTTTGTTGTAGGTAAAACATTTCTTGTTTTGAAAAAAATCAATACTAGGAGCTGAAAGATCGATATTATATCGGGCAGAAATAAATAACAAAATATCGCCCAAACATTTTTCCCACAGCCCTACCCCTTGGGATCTAAAACACATGCTAGTGCCTTCTTGGGAGTCAAAGTGTGTGTTAGAGCGCCTATTGAGAGCAGAAATGAATGTTAAAGCACCCTCTGTGAAGCAAAAATGAATGCTAAAATGATCTCTCCCTTTGGAGCTAAAACACGTGCAATAGTGCCCATTGGGAGTCAACAAAGGTCACAATACAATATTGTGATATGGGGGTTTGGGATTTAACCAGTATGCAACACGTGATCGATTCTGCAAAGCTGTCAGCAAATAACGAATAAAGATTAAGCGGTTAAACTCCACAAGTTTGAAAAAACCAGAACAATGTACTTTTTTAATGGAAAGATGGTGTTTTGATCATTGTTACTCTACTAAATCGAAGAGTAACTAACTCTTCTGAACTGTGGTGAAAAAGTTTATCAATACCTACATTAACAAACATTTTTATTAAACTTACTTGTATTATTTTTGGTTTTATATTCTGGCACTTGCAGTTTTTATCCTAAACCAAAATCCAGCCAAAATGTTCACTACAGTGCCCTCTATGAAGCCAAAATGTGTGCTAATTTGCCCTCTCCTGAGCCAAATCGTAGACCAAAGTGCCCTTTATGTTGGGGCTCAAAATTACACTGTATTTTTTTTTTTTTTTAAGTCATTGGCATTATGAGAATATTATATTTCTACATGTTTAATTATAGCACAGTAACATATCCCGGTTTGGTTAGTGATCAATTATAAATGGTTATGTAAAATAAAATTTAAATCCCTTTAGGGTCCCACCATGGGGAAATTCACTCTCTGCTTTTAACCCATCCCCTTATGTTTTGTGTTGTTAAAAAATTCCGGTCATAGTCATAATAGAAACTTCTGAAAGTACTTTAAATATTAAATTCTTACATACTGTTCAATAAATGATAAGTGTATATTTGTGTTTAATCACACTGGATCCAAACACAGCAAAATATGTATCTATTGCTATCGCAGGGAAACAAGAAGGTGACATGGATGGGTCAACATCAGTCTTATTCTAGCCACTCAAAAAGATTTACTGGCTGTTCTCAGAGAGAATCTGACTGGACGTTGTTACTGGGAGGTGGAGTGGAGAGGGACTGTAGTTTATGTAGCAGTTGCATACAAGGATATCATCAGAGCAGGCAGTGGGAATGAAAGCCGGTTTGGATCTAATAACAAATCTTGGGTATTAGACTGTTCAAAAGCCAGCTCTAGATTTGGCCATAACAACATGTGGACCTCCATCTCAGGTCCTGTTTCCTCCAGGATAGGAGTGTACCTGGATCACTCAGCAGGTATTCTGTCCTTCTATAGCGTCTCTGAAACCATGACTCTCCTCCACAGAGTCCAGACCACATTCACTCAGCCGCTACATGCTGGACTTTTAGTTGGTTTTAATTGTGGAGACTTTGCAGAGTTCTGCAAACCCAAATAGATTTGTTTTTTTTTTTTACTAATGCTATATCAAGGTTCCCAGGTTTTATATCTCGGTTTTGCTGTTTTGTTCTTTATTTTTCTGTCTCCTGTTACTCTGTCTGAACCCGTTATCTAGCCAACAAAATCTGTGATCCTATCTCAAAGTTATAGTGTAGAATTTTCGTGAATATTTGAAAAGACCCACCCTCTCCACTTTGAAAAAAAAAAATGCACATGCGCAACCCTGTACCCGCTCCCGAGAGGCAACGCCTATTAAACATGTGCGAGAGCATAAACAATTCCCACATAACAGTGGGAACTTCTACAGGGCAATAGTGTCATGGTCTTGACCCTGATGACTGGTCTGATTACTCATTTCATTCACCTGCCTATCACTGCTAAAGTCTCATTACTGTTCTTCCGATCCACCTGCTCCAGCCTCTATTTAACCTGCCTGCTACCTGTCATCAGGGCCAGATTATTTTAGCCTTTGGTGAGAGTTCTCTAGCGTACCTGAGTTTTTCTGATCGTCTGATCCTGACCTAATGGATTTCTGCCTGTGCACCGAACCTGGAAATGATTCCTGTCAGCGACCTGTAATTCGGAACCTCTTTGGACTTCTGATCTCCTGGTTCTGAATCCTGAGCACTTGCTCGACACCGGCTTTGGCTTCACCCTCTGGATTATCCTGCCTTCCTTCATTTGCTTGGTTCTGATCTCCAGCCCGTCCTTTGGGACTTCAGCATCTGGGAATCTCTGGGCGTCACCTGCTGCGTCTTGTTGGGTACTGACCGGCTGGAACCAACCTCATTCTCTGGGCATTGACTGAACTTTAAGACCCCTGGTTTAGACGCCCTGGGAGACTTCCTGCCTTAGACGCTATCGCTGTTCTCTGCAGTTCCATCTAAAATAAATGTTTTGTCAAACCTAACTGTCTTTTTCACCTCAGATACCGGGTCCTTTTGTTCTGAGCCTGACAAAAAGCCCCTCGTTGGACCTATGTAGAACCTCCCATGTGTGTAATTGTTCTGCTTTAATATTTGTATTTGTATATTCTGGCTTTTCTTCCACTTTTATACAGAAATAATCTTTTTTTAATTGGTTGAGATAAAAGTGAACTGAACTTGCTTCAGTTATCTTTGTTGCAATCCAAAGAAAAAGTAATGAAACTAACTTCATCTTAGAACTATTGCTGTTTTCTTTCAAATCTGATATTTCTTACCTTCAATTTAGATAAAAAAAAAAAATATATATATATATATATATATATATATATATATATATATATATATATATATATAATGTGTGTGTGTGTCTATTGTTTTTCCTCCCTGGGCCTTTTCAATTGCTGTTTTCTTTCAAATCTGATATTTCTTACCTTCAATTTAGATAAAAAAATAAATATATATATATATATATTGTGACAACCTGCTTGTTGCACAGAGCTGGCTGCACCGTTATTCATAAACCCTCCTGCTTCTTCACAGCTCAAGACACGCCTTCTTTACGCCCATTTAACACATGCACTTACCTGATTGGTCCGCTGTTCAATCTGACTCCTAGCTCCAGTTTGAAAATGTCAGTGTCTCAGCAGACAGCGTAACAGAAACAGCTGCTGCTACTACGTCTGCATATTCCGTTCTATCGACCAGTAACAAAGTCAGTCCGAGGCCGTTTAATCCCTCGTGCTTTCAGTATTTTGCCACTGTTCTGGATCCCACCGATCATTAAGGAAAAGGAGAAAACCAAACAAACAAAGAAACTTCATTCTGTGCTCCTGCCGTGCTGACGTGTCATCACAATTACCCGGAAGCCGGTGACATCACAGTTAAAGGTCCTCCGTAAGTGCTATACAGGTGCTGTTCATAAAATTAGAATATCATGAAAAAGTAGATTGATTTCAGTAATTCCATTTAAAAAGTGAAACTTGTATATTATATTCATACATTACATACAAACTCATATATTTCAGATGTTTATTTTGTTTAATTTTGATGATTACAAATGACAACAAATGAAAATCTCAAATTCATCATATCAGAAAATTAGAATATTGTGAAAAGGTTCAAAATTGATGGCCCCTGGTGCCACACTCTAATCAGCTAATTAACTCAAACCACCTGCAAAAGCCTTTAAATGGTCTTTCAGTCTAGTTCTATAGGCTACACAATCATGGGGAAGACTGCTGACTTGACAGTTGTCCAAAAGACGACCATCGACACCTTGCACAAGGAGGGCAAGACACAAAAGGTCATCGCTAAAGAGGCTGGCTGTTCACAGAGCTCAGTGTCCAAGCACATTAATAGAGAGGCGAAGGGAAGGAAAAGATGTGGTCGAAAAAAGTGTACAAGCAAGAGAGATAACCGCACCCTGGAGAGGATTGTGAAACAAAACCCATTCAAAAATGTGGGGGAGATTCACAAAGAGTGGACTGCAGCTGGAGTGAGTGCTTCAAGAACCACCACACACAGACGTATGAAAGACATGGGTTTCTGCTGTCGCATTCCTTGTGTCAAGCCACTCTTGAACCACAGACAGCGTCAGAAGCGTCTTGCCTGGGCTAAAGAGAAACAGGACTGGACTGCTGGTGAGTGGTCCAAAGTCATGTTCTCTGATGAAAGTAAATTTTGCATTTCCTTTGGAAATCAAGGTCCCAGAGTCTGGAGGAAAAGAAGAGAGGCACTTCATCCACGTTGCTTGAAGTCCAGTGTAAAGTTTCCACAGTCAGTGATGGTTTGGGGTGCCATGTCATCTGCTGGTGTTGGTCCATTGTGTTTTCTGAGGTCCAGGGTCAACGCAGCCACATACCAGGAAGTTTTAGAACACTTCATGCTTCCTGCAGCTGACCAACTTTTTGGAGATGCAGATTTCATTTTCCAACAGGACTTGGCACCTGCACACAGTGCCAAAGCTACCAGTACCTGGTTGAAGGACCATGGTATCCCTGTTCTTAATTGGCCAGCAAACTCTCCTGACCTTAACCCCATAGAAAATCTATGGGGTATTGTGAAGAAGAAGATGCAATACACCAGACCCAACAATTCAGAAGAGCTAAAAGCCACTATTAGAGCAACCTGGGCTATCATAACACCTGAGCAGTGCCACAGACTGATCGACTCCATGCCACGCCGCATTGCTGCAGTAATACAGGCCAAAGGAGGCCCAACTAAATACTGAGTGCTGTACATGCTCATACTTTTCATGTTCATACTTTTCAGTTGGCCAACATTTCTATAAATCCTTTGTTTTTATTGGTCTTCAGTAATATTCTAATTTTCTGATATGATGAATTTGAGATTTTCATTTGTTGTCATTTGTAATCATCAAAATTAAACAAAATAAACATCTGAAATATATGAGTTTGTATGTAATGTATGAATATAATATACAAGTTTCACTTTTTAAATGGAATTACTGAAATCAATCTACTTTTTCATGATATTCTAATTTTATGACCAGCACCTGTACTTACTGATAATATAAATTAATAATTTTGCCCCATTACAAAAAATAAAATAAATTTTAAATATATTCATCTAGTGAAACCAACAACAGAAAACCTGTTCCAGCGCCTGCCTCTGAGCAAGATTATTTTCTCATCAGACCTGTAAGTCCATTCTATGTATGTTTGTTTGTGCTGTTTTTTTATGCAATTGTAGGACTTTTGTTGTGTATAGACACTTATGTTTTTTATTTTCTCTTGTTATTTCACAGCTCTTGCTGTGGGGCAATCTATATTGGAGCCCTAATCCGTTGGATTATAATGGACATTTATTTTTGGAGAAGAATTTTGTGATTATTTTTTGATGGCTATATATTTATTTTTCTTTTTGAAATACAAGGACTGTTAAGCCTAATTTTTTGTTGTCTTTTTGTGAAAAGTTTTCATTCCTTATTTGTTAGGGTCTACACACGCAAAAGTGTATGGTCCTTGTGTGACTGGTTTAAAAATCTATATATATTGATCCTACTTGTCAGGAGGGATACCTGACTGGCACCGCTAAAAAGTGACAAATACCCTGTTAAAAAAAAAACTAAAACTAAAATAATTAACCTTGTAAAAACCGTCACATAAAATATTGGCACCTAACATGGGACATCTTTATTTCACAAATAAGGGAATGACATTTTGAGCACTTAGACAAATAAAAAAAAAAATATATATATATATATATATATAAAAAAAATAAATAATAAAAAAAAATAATAAAAATATATAAAGAAATAAAAATATAACAAAAAAATAAAAAATGAGCACTGAAGAAAATATAATCGAGCCCCCTTCAAACACTTCATCCCCTCCAATGATAATGCCTCCTAATCGCTCCACAGCATACTCTCTCCTAGATATGGAGTTGACTGGTCTGGATTTGGTGTTGGGTTCTCCTTTATCACCACAGCCTCCTCCGCAGGTTCAAGCAGAGACAAAGGCTGCACCAGAAGTTCTGGACCTAAAAGCAACCATGGAGGAAGTAAAGTCCTGTTTTAAAAAGGAGATGAGCAATATGAGAGATTCAACAATAAAACATGTGGAGGAAATCATTCAAGTCAATGCAAAGCAACAATATGAACGCATGGACTCACAGTTTGAGTATTTACTCACACAAACAAAAGCAACCCTTGGCTGGAGATTGAAGCATCAACAAACTGAGCTGCTAAAGGAATTCAGCAAGCTACTTGTCCCGGTTACAACCAGCATTTCCACTTTGCAAGATGATGTTTCTCGCCTAAAGGGAGAGCTCATGTCTTTGCAACTATCCATAAAGACTATGACTGAGGACATTAGAGCCGGAATCAAACCAGCTCAAACCTGTCAACAGAATACAGAAATGGATCAAACTGCACAGACAATCTACCATAGCCTACCAGAAACAACATCACTTACCAGCAAACCCCGGTGGGAATCTACTGCTCAGCCTGGGATGACAGGTGTCCAAGTAGCACCAGGTGGCGCTACCTTTTTACTTAATAGAAGTCGAGACCTGGGGAAAAGTCCTGTTAAATTGTTATTTCCAACTTATGGAAAATTAGAAGACACCCCCGACCCTCTGCAGTATCTGGAACGCTGTGAGGATTATTTGGCCCTTCATTCCTTAACTGATGAGGAACTCATGGCTACCCTACGGAATGTGTTGCATGGCACAGCCAGAGATTGGTGGGACGTAGCCAGACACAAGGTGCATACCTGGACTGACTTCCGAAGACAGTTCCAGGCTGCTTTTCTTTCTGAAGATTATGAGGATGAGCTTGCAGAACGTGTAAGGACCAGAGTCCAAGGAGAGAATGAAAGCATCAGGGATTTTGAGTACATGTACCAATCCCTATGCAGACGCTGGAAACCACAAATTTCAGAGGAAGAAATTGTCAAGCTGCTTCTGAAAAACATAAATCCAACACTGGCCAGTCAGCTAAGGAGTAGTAGGCTAACTACTGTGGATGAACTTGTCCGCCTGGGACAACAGCTAGAGAAGGATCGAGAACATCAGCAACAGTATGAGTACCGGAAACAAGCAAGTTTACCATCTAAAATAAATGAACCTAAACCTCATGACAATGAAAACACAGTAAGGCAAAGACAACCAAATTACAACCGAAATAACAATCGGCCACACCAACCATTCTGCTGGCGTTGTAAAGGAAATCATCCTCCAGCAACTTGCCCCCATGGTGGTAACAATCGATCATTTTCTCCAAACCTCCCTCAGCCAAGTAGCAGTTCATCCCAACTCCCATCAGCTCAAAGTTCAGCGACTCTTGGTTCCCTCACAAACTCTCAACTTCTGGACCAAACCTGTTCTCCAGCCACATCAACAACTAAACCTCTGCCTTCTCAGTTGATGGTTCCCATCACCGTCAGTTCCTGGAAAGGAGCTGCTATCTTGGACACAGGTTCTTCTTATACTCTGATGAATGAGAGAGTATGGAATGAAATCAATGGAGTGATAAAGCCTTGGACGAGAGGACCATTATATTTGGCTGATGGTGAAGGACGGCATCCCCTGGGATGGAGCGAAATCACTATCACATTGCAAAAACAGTCAATCACCTTACCATGCGTTATTCTATCTGCTCAAAACCTCACTTTTCCTGCTGTCCTTGGTCTTGATTTCATCTCCCTCTCTGGCCTGCAGTTTGATGTGTCAGAAAAACGTTATTGGTTCAAGTTCAACAGAAAACAACATTACAATTTTCTTCAAGAGTTTGCATGTTGGCCAAATGAACCTCATCAGCAACTTGCCTTTTTCTCTGCAGTGGCTCCTGCTACTCTGGTTGCCCTTGGGACCAATGATGAACTGTTGCAGAGGGCAGTTCACACCACACACCTGGATGACTTTGGGAAACAGTCATTGTTATGCCAACTGCGTAACAATTCTGATGTATGTACCACAGAGTTGGGCTGCACGAATGTACTTACTCACAAGATTTACCTTTCTCAAGATGTGCCAATTAAACAAAAACCATATCGAGTCTCACCTGCTAAACTTCAGATGATTAGGGAGCATGTAGATGAAATGCTGGAGAATGACATCATTGAACCATCCACATCTCCATACGCCGCTCCTGTTGTCTTGGTGCCTAAAAAAAATGACCCCAAACTACGTTTTTGTGTCGACTTCAGAAAACTAAATGCAGTCACACATACAGATGCATATCCATTGCCAAACATTCAGGAAATCCTGGAGTCTCTTTCTGGAGCAGTGATTTTCACTACACTAGACTTGAACAGTGGTTACTGGCAAGTCCGCATGGATCCAGAAAGCTGTGAAAAAACTGCATTTGTCTGTCCATATGGCCTCTTCCAATTTAAGGTTATGCCATTTGGCCTGAAAAATGCTCCAGCTACATTTCAACGACTTATGGAAGTAGTATTGGGTGAACTCAGAGGTAAAATTTGTTTTGTATATTTGGATGACATCATCATTTACTCAACCACTTACCATCAGCACAGTGCCGATATACAAGCCGTGTTGGACAAACTTCGTGAAGCCAACCTTACAGTCAACATGAAGAAAAGCCAGTTTTTCCGTTCCTCCATAAAATTTCTGGGACACATAGTATCCTCATCTGGTGTTGAGGTAGATCCAGACAAGATTAAAGCCATTCAAGAATTTCCTGTACCCCAGAATATTAAACAGCTTCAAAGATTTCTGGGAATGGCTGGCTGGTATCATCGTTTTGTGCCTGATTTTTCTGCCTTGACAGAACCACTCAATGCTCTAAAGCGAAAAGGAGTCAAATTCCTTTGGACACCATCTTGCCAAAAATCATTTGATGCTCTGAAAACTCACCTGGTCTCTCCACCCATTCTGGGTCATCCAGATTTCAAACTGCCATTCATTGTTTATACTGATGCTAGTGATGTGGGTTTGGGAGCCGTTCTAGCTCAGCAGACTGGGTTAGGCACCGAGCAAGTCCTGGCCTTTGCCAGCCGAACTCTAAATAAAGCTGAAAGGAACTACTCTACTACTGAGCAAGAATGTCTTGCTGTTGTTTGGGCCATTGAAAAGTGGAGATATTACCTTGAAGGACGACACTTCACCGTTGTGACTGACCATTCACCTCTGATCTGGGTTTTTAAAACTCATAAACCTAGCACTCGGCTGATCCGGTGGGCTCTTCGTCTGCAAGAATTCTCCTTCACAGTGGAATATCGAAAAGGAAAGTATAACACTGTTCCAGATGCTCTGTCACGAGCCCCAATCAATGCCTCTGACCATTCACCAGTTACCTGTGCTGTCGTACTCCGGTCGCAACGTGACACTTCTCACCCACTCCAAGTGACAGATGAGAACATCTGGAAGGCTCAGCAGCAGGATCCTTTCGCACAAAACATTTACCAACAAATAATGGACAAAGGAACAGTACATGAGTCGCCAACAATAAAGTACACTATCCTGGAAGACAAGGTTTACAGAGTTGTTCAATTACCACACAAAACTCTTTACCAAGTCTATATTCCACCATCACTCCGTCAACAGTTACTTCATCACAATCATAATGACCCTTTATCTGGACATTTTGGACGATACAAAACCTACAAACGGTTACAAGCCTTGGTGTATTGGCCGAGGATGAGCATTGATGTTCGGGACTATGTGAGATCCTGTCAAGTCTGTCAAATGTACAAACCTGAAACCCGAAAAGCTCCTGGCAAGTTGCAACAGACAGAGGTGAGTGCACCATGGGAGATGTTGGGCGTGGACCTTATGGGACCCTTTCCACGGAGTTCTACTGGTAATGTCCATCTACTTGTTTTTGTGGATTATTTCTCACGGTGGGTTGAAATGTTTCCCCTCCGCAAAGCTACTGCAGAAATAATTTCCCAATACTTGACCAGAGAGATTTTGACACGATGGGGAGTGCCAACATACATTCTCTCTGATCAAGGTCCACAATTTATTTCTTCTGTATTCGAGGAGACCTGTAAAAGATGGAATCTCACACCAAAGAAAACCTCTGCATATCACCCACAAACTAACCTTACGGAGAGAGTTAATCGCAACATCAAGGCTATGCTCTCATCCTATGTCAGTAACAAACATAAGAGTTGGGATAAATACCTACCGGAATTTCGGTTTGCTTTAAACTCTGCAGTGCATGAATCTACTGGTGTGACTCCAGCTGAGCTCAACATTGGACGACCTCTGAAAGGGCCTTTGGATGAAGAGCTGAGTCCAACCCTTTGTGACCCTGACACACCTGTCTATGCTACAGTAAAACAGATTGCTGAGCTCCGTGAATTTGCTGATGTCAATCTGAAAAAAGCTAAGCAGCGACAGAAACACAACTATGACCGTGGAAGAAGAGATGGAAACTTCTCAGAAAGAGACCGTGTATGGATTCGTTCACACCCTTTATCAAAGGCTG